GGTATGAGAATATTTTCTCAATGAGAAATGTTTTTTCTCTCATTGAAAAAAAAACCCACGAGAAATAAAATGTATTATATTAAGTGGAAAACAGTTTCCACAATTTTCTTTATAACTTGCAAATAAATATTTTGCTTACGTACAGATACTGTGATGTCATTGAGGGTTTTGTAGATATAGTGAAGTAATTTGTATGTTTGTGTGCAAGTTATACCCAGATACAATATTAAACACCAATTCTTGTCTCTGTGGTTACTAAAGTTAAAGGTTCAAATTAGTAAAAACAAAAATGTGTTGAGAAAGGAGGTCTTTAAAGATTTCTCACTCTTTTAATATGTAATGAAAGTACAAATATTTTCATCATGATCTTAATATTATTAATATTATTAATAAAACTCAACAGTCAATCAACAATAGCATATTTTATTGTAACAGTGTAATAAGAAAGGAACGTGGGGAAGTTGTAGTGTTTCCCACTGTTAGTTTACAAATAACAATATTTAAGCACAAAATATTAAACCAACATAATTAAGGCTCTTATACCTCAAGAGTCAGTTAGCAATAATATTGAAAGTATCTAAATTACTAAATGGTAGAGGAACACACTCCTGTGTAGTCTAGCTGCACCAAAATAGAAATGTCTAAATTGAAGTCAGCGTAATGTTTTCGAAAGCACAAATCAGGCTTCTGCAGTTGGTTTGAATAAGATGCCTGAAGTGTGAATATATAAAGTTGACTGTCATACACGGTGACCCCTCCGGAGCTCTCCTCCGCTGGGTTCATGCTTCTCTCATAAGCGTAGCTTCTTGAAGGCTCATGTGAGAGCTGTTGAGTGGAAGAGTAAATTTCCTAATATTTCTCCTACTTCAGGGAGTGAGTGCAAAAAGGGGGGGGGACTTAAAAACACATTCTTTTTAGCAAATGTTTTTTGAAGGTTCAAAGGTGGGTGGGTGAAAGTCGGATATGCCATGTCTAGTAGTACTTGAGCAGCTGCGTATTTCCTACCGTAGAAAAAATGGGGATCTTCTGGTTGGTTCAGATGTACACCTCTAGATAATTGAAACTTTCACCAGGGGTTTTGGACTTTCTATAAGAAAAAACAATAATTGGAAATTGTTCATTGTGAATACATTAGATTTGTACAGACAAAACATTCATGAAGTGCAATTATAGCCAGTGTTGCTATATTAGTATGAATGTTAATAGCATGTTTGTTTTTGAAATGGGTTATGCATTCTGATAAATGTCTGCTTTAATCTAGTCATCTGTGTATCACTTGTCTAAGTACTCTCATTTAAGATGCCATATCCCTTCTTGTAGCAATAAAGGGGTAAAGCAACATTAATATTAAATAATTAGAAAAACAAAAGGGGAATGATTAAACATATTTACATAATTGAAATAACACTGTGTCGCAGTGGGAAATCGGGACAATGTTGTCTCCTTTCAAAGTAATTCATAATTCAGATTTTTAATTATGGCATATTCATTCATTTAAAGATGATTCTGGATGAGAGGGCCACTAATGAAATACAATCATTAGCATCTAAACAAAGTAATTTACAAAGTCTCCTTTAGGGGAAAAGATTTCTAGAACATCATCAATCACACAAGATATGCAAAAACAAGCAATTAAACCACACACAAGAACTACAACAGCCTTATATATCAGTAATGTACACATGAAAACATAACTGATTACAATGATTAGACTAGGGTAGTGTGGTTAATTTGTATTTTATGTAGTGATTCCATGGAAGAATGCACCCGGACAGACACATTACACAGAAGAGGAACTTCATTTCATTAATACTCGCTTAAAACACATGACCAAAAAAACCCAAAATACAAACCTTGAATTTTGAGTTGTTGCCTGTTCATCCATGTGGGATCAAAATCCTACATAGTCTGATAAAACAGCTTCCTTTCTCCTGCATCTCTTTTTGCCTGCTGTTTACTTTTATGAACTGGCAAAATGTGGGATTAGGAAAGTATTTTGTGGAAGGCAGGTACTGCATTGGTTTCTCATTCTTTGTTCAAATCCTGCTTTAGGCTTCCAAAGACAAAGTGCTTCCAGCCCTCACAGGGTCAGTGATTTACTTAGGCTCTTCCTCCATGTGCACAATTACAGAGCATTAAACTTACAGCAGGACTAAATGGAGAGTACAGTTCTCTGACTTTGAATGCTTGTGTATGGTATCTTGCTCAATGGACCCACAAAAAGGCTGGTTTCAAACACTGTTCCTGTAGGCCACATTATAATTTTGTTGCAAACCTATACTACTTACTTCTGCCAGTAGATTTTTCTTTGTGAAGGTGGAAGGAAGGCTTGGGTGTAAAAGCCAGAGGAATTAGGAGAGTGGTGTGGTATCGAGGAGGGGGGGAGTCCATGGAGAAGGCTGGCACTCCTGGTGTAAGCTGAGCCGCCTTCGATAACCACAAGCTACAGAAGCCAAAATATGCTCTATTGGGTACTCAAAGGATAAAAATACTGGTTAATTTTCAACAGCGCTCCTTCATTTGACTTTACAATTTACAACAGTGAACATTAATGCAGGAATAGCTTGGTTGAGGAGGAGTTTAAAATTAGAGCCCCTCTTCTCATTAGCCCCAACAGCCTGACCCAGGGTGACTGAGAAGCAATTTGTCGCCAGATTCTCATTTTGCTTCTGTTATGGCTCCTTGTAAATGAAGCGCGGCAATTTATTGTAGCACCTCTAGGAGTCAAGAACATAATGTGTAAAACACATACAAAAAAAAAATCTTTCTTCACATTCATTAACACCCAGCACATAGAGGCTGTTCACTTTTCCCTCTAATGAAGTGGGGGGGGGGGTGGATCTTAAATCTAAAGCTTTCCATCATGTGAAGAAGTCCTCTTCAGGCCATTAGACAGAGGCTGAGTTGTATTGAAGAAAGGTCATTGACAAAAACAGAGAATGGCAATATGAGGAAAAATAGAAAATGGATAAAGGAAGAGACTTTAGAAGCCTCAAAGAATGGAAAGTACATTTTTGGCATCCGCGATCAACCCTCCTTGTCTCTCAGTGTATTTTCTGTTGTAGGTGAAGAAAAGAATATGTGGCTTTTTATATAGCTGGAAATCGCTCTAGTGTTTGGCCAATTCTCATTTCTTCACCCTTGATCTGACCCTTGTAAGCGGCATTAAGTCAGGTTCATTTGAAGATCATATTGTCTTTAATCTCTGAAACCTGTTTGCTTGTTTCCTCTCCCCTCCCACATCCTTTGCAAAAAACTGCGGTGTCCACAGTTTTAATGCATTCTGACTGCGTAAGAGGCTGCTCTGGCCCAGGGCTGGCCATAGGCTTTTATCTTACTCCTGTGATTAATTCTGATTAATGGTTTGTTGTGTGGGGTCTCACAAATGGCACCTCCAGATGAACCTAATAACAAATTAGTATATGGAAAAAATTGCCAGAGGGTCCAGGAGTGCCCTTTTGGATTAAATGCTGACAGTTGTCATATATGCTCACCCATTTCACGATGTAGTAATAGGCACTCAATAGTTATGGCAATAATAGCAGTCTTTTAAAACTCATTTTAATAAAAGTCAAATATTGAGTATATAGAACCAGGCAAAAAAGTCAGTAAAATTTGAAAGGTTTTCCTCTTTCTTTCTTTCTTTCTTTCTTTCTTTCTTTCTTTCTTTCTTTCT